TCATCGATTTTCCAAAAAGGAAAACGTATAGTTTTAGCATATGCGCTTTGTCGGCTTTCGCGGCGTTGACGACGGCCCAACAAGCCCCCAAAACCGCCCCAAGACGGCCCAAGAGGCTCCCAAGAGGCCTCCAAAACGGCCCAAGAGGGCCCCAAGACGGCCCAAGAGGCGCTGAAGACGGCCCAAGAGGGCGCCAAGACGGCCCCAAGAGGGGGACCACGAACCGAAAAGTCTAGCCTTTCGCCCCAAGACGCTCCCAGGAGGTCCCCAGAGTCCCCCAAGAAGCCCCAAGAGGCCCCCAAGAGGTGTCCCAAGAGGCCACAGGGAGGCGAAAATCATTGATTTCCCACCGGAAAAATACATTTTTAGCATACACGGCCTTTCGGCTGTCACTGCGTTGAAGACGCTCCAAGAGGCCCCCAAGACCGCCCCAAGACGGCCCAAGAGGCTCCCAAGAGGCCCCCACAACGGCCCAGGAGGGCGCCAAGACGGCGCAAGAGGCGCCCAAGGCGGCCCAAGAGGGTCCCAAAACGGCCCCAAGAGGGGGACCACGAACCGAAAAGTCCAGCCTTTCGCCCAGAGAAGATCCCAGGAGGCCCCCAGAGCCCCCCAAGAAGCCCCAAGAGGCCCCCAAGAGGTTCCCAAGAGGCCTCCAAAAGGGCCCGACAAGGGCCCCAATAGGGCTCCCAAGAAGGCCCAGAGACGCCAAATAGAGAGCGATCGGTAACGCAAAAAGCTCTTCACACCAAGGCTTCCTAGAGCGGGCGGTGACGTAAACAAGCTGATAAGACCAAGGCTCCCAGCAGGGAGCGGTGACGCAACAAGTTCCTGACACCAAGGCCCAGCCAAGGCGCAGGAACGGGCGGCTACGCAACAATCTCCGAACACCAAGGCTCCCAAGAGCGCGGGGTGACGCAACAAGCTCTCAACGCCAAGGCTCCCAGTGCGAACGGTGGTGTGAGCAATTTCGGCGACTGTATCTGAAGCGCTCTTTCCGCTTCTGCGCCGGGCCAGGCAACGGAAAGAGCGAGGCACGAGTGATGACGTTCTGGTGTGGGCGAAGCCCTAAAGGGAGGGGTTCCAGGGGAGGGGGGTAGCGTGCGCATTTGAATGTTAATGGCTGTTTTCGGGATTTCCCTCGGGTTTTTGCATGTTTCTCTGGCTCGCCCCCCCCAAGACGGCCAAAGAGGGCTCCAAGAGAGCCCAAGACCGCCCAAGATGGCCCAAGAGGCCCCCAAGAGGCCCCCAAGAGGCGCCCAAGGGGCGTCCCAAGAGGGCCCCAAGAGGCCGAAATCATCGATTTTCCAAAAGGAAACGCATATTTTTAGCATATGCGCTTTGTCGGCTTTCGCTGCGTTGACGGCCCAAGAGGCCTCCAAGACCGCCGCAAGACGGCCCAAGAAGCTCCCAAGAGGCCTCCAAAACGGCCCAAGAGGGCCCCAAGACGGCCCAAGAGGCGCTGAAGACGGTCCAAGAGGGCGCCAAGACGGCCCCAAGAGGGGGACCACGAACGGAAAAGTCTAGCCTTTCGCCCCAAGACGCTCCCAGGAGGTCCCTAGAGCCCCCCAAGAAGCCCCAAGAGGCCCCCAAGAGGCGTCCCAAGAGGCCACAGGGAGGCGAAAATCATTGATTTCCCATCGGAAAAAAAAAACAATTTTAGCATACACGGCTTTTCGGCTTTCACTGCGTTGAAGACGCTCCAAGAGGCCCCCAAGACCGCCCCAAGACTGCCCAAGAGGCTCCCAAAAGGCCCCCAAAACTGCCCAAGAGGGCACCAAAACGGCCCAAGAGGCGCCCAAAATGGCCCAAGAGGGCCCCAAGACGGCCCCAAGAGGGGGACCACGAACCGAAAAGTCTAGCCTTTCGCTCCAAGAAGCTCCCAGGAGGCCCCCAAAGCTCCCCAAGAGGCGTCCCAAGAGGCCCCCAAGAGGTTCCCAAGAGGCCTCCAAAAGGGCGCGGCAAGGGCCCCAATAGGGCTCCCAAGAAGGCCCAGAGACGCCAAATAGAGAGCGACCGGTAACGCGAAAAGCTCTTCACACCAAGGCTCCCAAGAGCGAGCGGTGACGTAAACAAACTGATAAGACCAAGGCTCCCAGCAGGGAGCGATGACGTAACAAGTTCCTAACACCAAGGCCCGGCCAAGGCGCAGGAACGGGCGGCAACGCAACAATCTCTGAACACCAAGGCTCCCAAGAGCGTGGGGTGACGTAACAAGCTCTCAACGCCAAGGCTCCCAGTACGAACGATGGTGTGAGCAATTTCGGTCAAGTTGTTGAAGCGCTCTTTCCGTTTCCGTGCCGGCCCAGGTCTACTGGCCCCACCTTCGGCCCAAGAGACCTTTCGAACTCTCATGCGTTCCCACGTTTCCTGCCCCTGCACTGGCCTGCCCATCCCAATCACCACCAAGGCCTAGGGTCGCGCCGCGCCAGCAGGCGCGGCGCGACGTGACAGACCCCCAGGCAATCTGTCCATTTCTTCCCATGCGTCCTCGTCTTCATCGAATGGCATGCTCTTCTCCCTTCCGCTGCGCGCTTGCCGCCTGGCCCCCCTCTACGCACAACGCAATGTACCAAGACGTGGAAGCGAGGCGCAGCGAGCTTCAAGTCTTGTATATATGTGTATATATATATATATATACATATTCCTCGTCCCATATTTTTACAAGCCCGCGGGGGGGGGGAAACCCTCCCCCTCCAAAACTGGACCCCCGGGATCTGGGGTTCTCGGGCTCCCTTGGACGTCCTTGGAAAAGGTCACCTGGCTTTCCGGGTCTCCACAAACGCCTTCCCAGCAGACCCAGAGCGATCCGAGGGGTCATCAGAAAGGCTCAAGGGAGGCCCCAGACAGCACAAGAGCGCTCCAAGAGGGACTCCAATTGCGTCAGGACAGCCCAAAAGACCCCCAAGCCACCCCAAACAGCTTTCCAAGGGGCCTTCAAAGCACAAAAATCGTTTCATTCCCTGCGTGAAACTCACAATTTTAGCATATTCGCCTTTCGGACTTCATCAGCTTTCAAGACGGTTTCAAAGCCCCCGAGATCGCCTCCAGACGTCCCAAAAGGCCCCCAGGAAAGCTTCACGACGGCCGAGCCGGGCCCCACGATCGCCCACGAGAGCCCCAAGACAGCCCATACTGGAACCAAGAGGCCCCCCAAGGGCTCCCAGCACAGACCCAAAAGGGCCATGGGAGGTCCCCGGAAGTGCCCAAGATGGGTCCAAAGGGGGCTCCAGCGGGCCCAAGCTCCCCAAGACGGCCCGAGAAGGCCCCAGGACGGCCCGTGAAGGCGCCAAAACGGCCCACGAGAGCACCGAAAACACCCCCACGATGTTTCCGAATGCCAAGATAAAGACCCCCGAAGCCACCCCAAAAAGCTTTCCAAGGGGCCTTCAAAGCACAGACCCAAAAGGGCCATGGGAGGTCCCCAGAAGTGCCCAAGATGGGTCCAAAGGGGGCTCCAGCGGGCCCAAGCTCCCCAAGACGGCCCGAGAAGGCCCCAGGACGGCCCATGAAGGCGCCAAAACGGCCCACGAGAGCTCCGAAAACACCCCCACGATGTTCCCGAATACCAACATCAAGACCCCCAAGGCACCCCGAAAAGCTTTCCACGGGGCCTTCAAAGCACAAACATCGTCCCATTCCCTGCGTAAAACTCACAATTTAAAAAACGGTTTCAAGGCCCCCGAGATTGCCTCAAGACGCTCCAAAAGGCCCCCAAGAAAGCTCCAAAACGGCCGAGCCTGGCCCCACGATCGCCCACGAGAGCCTCAAGACAGCCTATAATGGAACCAAGAGGCCCCCCAAGGGCTCCCAGCACAGACCCAAAAGGGCCATGGGAGGTCCCTGGAAGTGTCCAAGATGGGTCCAAAGGGGGCTCCAGCGGGCCCAAGCTCCCCAAGACGGCCCGAGAAGGCCCCAGGACGGCCCATGAAGGCGCCAAAACGGCCCACGAGGGCCCCGAAAACACCCCCACGACGTCTCCGAATGCCTACATTCATATACATGTATATATATATATGTATACACATATGTATGTATATATGTATATATATATACATAGAGAGAGATATAGGCGTGCACCGACAAATCACGTACGAGTTGCATATGCATGTTCATACCCTTACACATACAAATTTAGATGTACATATGTAAGCTGTATACACATACAACAATGTAAGTATATTGTATACACCTAGACATTTATACGGAACGTGCATGCACGTGCGCGTGTATACATGCGTGCGCGCATGTACGCACGCACGCATTCCGCTTGCGTACAGAACTCAAAGGACCAAGGTGCATGGCGCGCAGCGCCAATGCAGTCTTGTATATCTATATATATATATAAATATAGATGTATGTGTGTAAACATATACGTATGTACATATCCCGCGCTGCCTTGAGCTCAGTGTAAATATATATATATATATATATACACATATACATACAAATGTACAAGACTACAAAAACGCTTCGCGCCATGCGCCTTGGTCCTTGATATCGGGCATGCAGGGGAAATGTAGGAGCACGACACATAACATTAAGTGATAACTCATTGCTGCCTTTTCCGACATCGTCGTCAGACCAATGTGATGAATGATCCTTCCCTCATGTCTCTTCGACCTCTTCCTCATTATCGCCCTACCTGCGAATTCGTCCCCATCCTCTTCAGCTCGTTTTGCGGAGCCTCCTCGTTGGAGAGCTTCTTGGGGGCCTTACGACAATGTTTCAGAGCTTCTGAAGGCCTTCTGGAGGCCTCCTGGGCGCCTTCTGGGGGCCTCTTCCTCGGGCCACCCTGCCTCCAACCGCGGCCCCCCTGAACGACCATGTCACGAGTTGGAATGCTTCGGGGGGCGTCTCGGGACCTCTGCTTGGTCTTTTCCGCTCCTGGGCCTCCACTGCTGCACGCCGCAGCTCCCTGTTCCGGAGTCTGTCCCTGTCCCTCGAGGCGCCCCCCTCCTCCACCACCTCCTCCTCCTCGGGCATGCTACCGCTAGCTGCAGCTACAGCCCCAGGTCTCTTGCCCACGCGTTCAGCGAAGGGACGTCGACGATCGCGCCGCCGCACACCTCGACCACCACGGTCCTGCAGCCGGCCAGGGCCGCGCTGCGCTCGGTGACCGCGGCCAGGGCCGCGCCACAGGCGGGTTCCACCAGCGCGCGGTGGTGCTCGGCCAGCTTGAGGCACGCGGCGACGGCGGCCGCGTCCGTGGTGACGGCGGGCAGCACGCGAGCGGGCCCCAGCTCCACGCAGCGGTCGAAGGCCGCGCGACTGACCCGCTTCGCCCCGAGCGACTTCGCCACCGAATCGATGGAAGGCAGTGTCACCAGCTCCCCGGCGGCGAGGGACTGCGACATAGACGAAGCGCCTTGGGTCTCACCAAACACCACGCGCGTTGTGTCAAGCCAGCCAGCAGCCGACAGGCCCTGCAGGATGCCCATGAGCAGGCCGCCGCCTCCGACACAAGTGACTATGGCATCGGGTGGCCGAGGCAGCTGCCGCGCGAGCTCCTCCACAAGGGAAGCGTGCCCCTCCCACGTCGACGGCTGATCGAAAGGATGCACGTACGAGCCCTTGAGCTCTTCCACGAGCTGCTGAGCTCGCACGTCCGCCTCGTCCCACACGTCGCCATGGACCACCACTTCTGCACCGTAGCGCCGCAACCGCTCATGGACGGCGGCGGGCGTCGTGGAAGGCAGCACCACCGTGGCGGGAACCCCGAGGCGCTTCGCGGCGTACGCGGCGGCCAGGCCCGCGTTGCCACCGCTGGAGGTGACTACGTGCTGGGCGCCGGCAGCCACGGCCAGCCCGACCGTCCTCCCAATGCCGCGTATCTTGAACGAGCCTGGGCGCTGCCAGCAGTCCATTTTCAGGAACACCTCGGCGCCGAGGTGCTCCGACAGGTGCTCCGACGGCACAAGAGGCGTCTCCTCGTGGAGACGCGCCTCCGCAGCCGCGGCCGTCGCGCCGCGGCAGCGGGGGGGCCGCCACGGCCTGGCCCCGAGTGCTGCGGCGGCGCGCCCAAAGAGGCAACGACCGCGTAGTGTGCGCACGGCGGCGACCGAGGCAGCCGCCATGGACGGCTCCGCGCAGGGCAGGGGCGGGGAAACTCCACGGACTTTGGCCAAAATTGCTACGGAGGCGTCTTGGGTCATCATTGGGGCCCTCTTCGGGCCATCTTGCGGCCATGTTGGGCCGTCTTGGGGCTCTCTTGGGCTGCATGGAAGCCCTTTCGGGTCTTTTCGGTGCAATGTTCGGGCCACTTGGACGGTCTTGAATGCCCAGAAGACCGAAGAACAGATCACTGCCAAAATCAAACAACAACCTATGGGAAATCAATGTTTTCCACGTTTAGAAAACCTCTCGGGGGTCTTCTGTGGGTCGTCATCGGGCGTCTGGTGGGTGTCTGGGGCCTCTTGGGGCCCTCGGGGGACGGCTCGGCCGCCCCCCTCCTGACTGATTAAAGCCCGTTGCGTTGGCCCAGCAGGTCTTTCCAGGAATTCAGGAAAGCCCGAGGGGCCTTGTGCAGGGTCGTCCAGAGGGCCCCCGGAGCCGAGGATCAGGGGAGTCCCGTTTTTGTTGTTGAGGGGGTGGGACGGGTTCCCCCCCGGCCCTGGCGTGCAAAAATATATAGAAAGCGGTAAATACATGAACAAGTAACGAACATTAAATACATACATTATTTTGCTTCGAGCGATTCCCACCGAAACCTTCGGCGTTTGATCTCGAAGGTGCGCGCGCTCATTGGAACAGTGTGCGCGGGGCGGTGGTCTCGGCCAGTGTTGCCCAATGTTATGGTTTGCTCGGTTATGTTATGGTATGTATGCTCCGACCTGCCATAGCATGCGTTGCTATTCGGTGTTGTGTGATCATATGCTATGTAATGTTATGCGATAGTGTGACATGTTATGTTTTGGTGTGTCCAATTCTGCGTTGCTTCGTTATGGTATGTTTGGTCCACAATGTTATGGAAAGATATGTGCTGCGATGCTGTGTTATGGTATTATCTGCATTGTCATGGTGTGTTATGTTACGGTATGGTCTGTCATGATATGGTATGTTATGATCGGATATGTTCTGTTCGCGGTGTCGTTTTATGCTCTGTTCTGTGGAAGGCCTGGGGATCTGGCGGCCGCGGCATGTTGAGTGGGCGAGTCGGCCCGGGGGGCGGGACCAGCAGGGATTGTCGGGAGCCTGGGGATCTGGCGGCCGCGGTATGCAGGGCGGGGGGGTGGGCGGGAACACCAGGGATTATCGGGAGCCTGGGGATCTGGCCGCCACGGTATGCAGGGCGGGGGGGTGGGGGGGGGGGGCGGGACCACCAGGGATTGTCGGGAGCCTGGAGATCTGGCGGCCGCGGTATGCAGGGCGAGCGGGCCCGGAGGTCTGTTCTTAAAACCGATTGACCCCAACCTGTCGGTGGGGAATATATACGTACATACATAAACAAACATACACGATTAAGCACAATTAGAACAACAAGAATAATGCCGAACTAGACATATATATACATATATATATATACATATGTAAACATGTATGTTTGTATACATGTACATATACATATATACACATCCAAATAGACACACGACTATACATGTAAAATATAAATCGTATATTGCACTATGACTCTGACACGCGAAGCAGAGGCAGAGATTGTTGGAATCGTGAGGGGGATCGTGATGCGGGGGGTTGGGGATGATCCACGTCCAGCGGCAAATTCAGCTTCATGGCCAGTCGCCGACTACGGTAATCTGCAACGCACTTCGCAGCGAGCCGAGTGAATGAATGGTAGCATGAGGCCCCTGAAACAAGTAAAGGGCATCGACAAATCAACGGGGCCCCGGTGCGAGGAGCCGTAAAAATGGCCCTGATGGCTCCGCATCGCAGCGTCTCCCGGCAGTCTGCGCCGCCTGGCCAGGCAGAGGGGGAAGGGGAGGGAGGGAGGAACAAGCATGCGACGACGAACGCGCAGGCAGGAGGCCAGGGCCGGCGGCACAAGGCAAGCGGGCGGGCGGGCGGGAAGGGGGCGAGGGGGAGACAGCGGGCAGGGGGCATGGGCGAAGGGGGCGGCGAGGGGGGGAAGGGGCAGGCAGGAGCGGCGTCTGAGGCCGCGGCAGCTGTTCGCGAAGTACTTCGGCAAGAAGTCTCGCGCATAGTGGAACCACATGGTGCCTGAGAGCCATTCGGCCCGCACCTCTTTTGCAGGCCTGGCTGCTGTCTGGACGACTTATCCAATGTGTGCGTGTTCCTTGAACTCAGGAGCTTGCGAATGCCTCGAAGATGTCAGGAAGAAGTTCGGCAACATCCCCACAACGCTATCGGCTGGTGGCGCTCCCTCGGATGAACTACAAAGGAACAGAAAGCCAATGTGATCACCTTTCGAGTGATTGCGACTTGCAGATAAGCATGTTCCACACTGGAGCATCGCAAATATTTCTACACATGTCCCCTCCCCTTAGCAAACACATTGGGGCATGTCTTCATTCAGCAAATACTTGACACCCATTCTGGTCTGCAGCTAGATTCATATGCCCGTCACATGTGGGCCCAAGTCGCTGCCGTCCTCCCCCTCCTTCACCCCATCCTTCACGGAAGTGCGTCCGTTGCCAAGAAGACAAATGAAACCGATGAAATACGTCAAGGATTGCCGGTTTAGCAAACGTCGGTATGCTTCTGAACACCTTCCTGGGAATAGAAAAGGAAGCACACGCGATCTCAATCTCTGGAGGAACAAACACTTACATAGACACAAACATGCGGAGCTCCGTTGGGTGCGCGGATCGCGCCAAAGGCGACGCCGGAGGCGAGGCCAAGGGGTCCGTCGCCGATCCAACAAACCCGCTTCGAGCTTTGGAAGTTTACGTTTATGCGGTTCTTGTTTCTTCGAACGTTGAGGGCAAAAGCCCCCCGCAGTTGCGGATCGAATCGAAATCTTCGTCGGGTCGGGCTGCATCGGCACAAATCGGCTGCGCCAGGAAGCACAACGGCGCCATGCGAGCATCCAGCCGCATCGGATCGTCGAAGCATTTCGGAAGCACATCAGGTCGGACCGGCCCAGACCGACATCGAATCGGCACGATCGGAGCGAAACTGACCCTGGAACGGGGGGGCGCCGATCCATGAAATCCGCTCGGAGCTCTGGAAGATTATGTTTATGCGGCTTGCTCTTCTTGGAACGTTGGGGACAAAAGCCCCCGGCAATTGTGCATAAGACTGGCACGATCAGTCCCCATCGAATCGGGTAATCGGATCGAGTCGAAATCTTCGTCGGATCGGGCTGCATCGGCACGGATCCGGGGTCGAACCGGATCGGCTGCGCCAGGATGCACTACATACAGCGCCACGCGAGCATAGGGCCGCGTCGGACAGTCGAAATATATCGGAATTGAATCGGATCGGGCTGGCCGAAACCGAAATCGAATCGGATCGATCGGATCGGAATGGTTCCTGGAACGGGGGGGCGCCGATCCAGGATATCCGCTCCGAGCTCTGGAAATGTATGTTTATTCCCCACATGCTTCGTGGGGTTCTGGTTTTCTTCCCTGCCGCGCCGCACCCGCGACACTCACACCTCACACCTCCCTCTCCGTCTCTCTCTCTCTCTCTCACACACCTCACTCTTCCCCTCCTCCTCACAGCACTGCTCAGCACAGCTCAGCTCAGCTCAGCTCAGCACGGCACAGCTGAGCACAGCTCAGCTCAGCTCAACTCAACTCAGCACAGCACAGCACAGCACAGCACGGCACGGCACAGCACAGCTCACCGCACAGCAGCACAGCACAGCACAGCACAGCATAGCACACAGGGCATTCCTTCGACGCCACAGGGGGTGCTCTGGGGATGGGGGCCCTATGCGTTGTAGGCTCCCAGGGCGTGGCAGGCGTGGCATTTCCTCGACGCCACAGGGGGTGCGCTGGGGGTGGGGGCCCTATGCGTTGTAGGCTCCCAGGGCGTGGCAGGCGTGGCATTTCCTCGACGCCACAGGGGGTGCGCTGGGGGTGGGGGCCCTATGCGTTGTAGGCTCCCAGGGCGTGGCAGGCGTGGCATTTCCTCGACGCCACAGGGGGTGCGCTGGGGGTGGGGGCCCTATGCGTTGTAGGCTCCCAGGGCGTGGCAGGCGTGGCATTTCCTCGACGCCACAGGGGGTGCGCTGGGGGTGGGGGCCCTATGCGTTGTAGGCTCCCAGGGCGTGGCAGGCGTGGCATTTCCTCGACGCCACAGGGGGTGCGCTGGGAGGTAGGAGGAGGAGGTAGAGGAGGAGGAGGAGGAGGAGGAGGAGGAGGAGGAGGAGGAGGAGGAGGAGGAGGAGGAGGAGGAGGAGGAGGAGGAGGAGGAGGAGGAGGAGGAGGAGGAGGAGGAGGAGGAGGACGGGGAGGTGGGGCAGCAGCAGCGGCAGCAGCAGCAGCAGCTGCAGCAGCAGACGCAGCAGCAGCAGAAGCAGCAGCAGCAGAAGCAGCAGCAGGAGGACACCGAGGAGGAGAAGGAGGAGCAGCAGCAGAAGAACCGATGGCACACATGGGAAACAAAATAGGTATGTGGGGTTCGTCGGTAGCGTAATGTGGTTTGTTTTTCTTCGAACGTTGAGGACAAGAACCCCACGCAATTACGAATAGAGCCGGAATCGGATCGGATCGGCTGCGCCAGGATGCACAACGGCGCCATGCGAGCATCCGGCCGCATCGGATCGTCGAAGCATTTCGGAAGCACATCAGATCGGACCGGCCCAGACCGACATCGAATCGGCACGATCGGAGCGAAACTGACCCTGGAACGGGGGGGCGCCGATCCAAGAAATCTGCTCGGAGCTCTGGAAGTTTACGTTTATAATGCTTGCTCTTCTCCGAACGTTGAGGACAGAGGCCCCCCGAACTTGCGGATCGGAGTGGCAAGATCAATCAACATCGATTCGGGAAATCGGATCGAATCGAAACATTCGTCGGATCGGGCTGCATCGGCACGGAGTCGGAATCGGATCAGATCGGCTGCGCCAGGCCGCATCGGACCGTCGAAACGTGTCGGAAGCGAATCGGATCGGGCCGGCCCAGACCCACGTCCAATCGGATCGATCGGAGCGGAACGGACCCGGGAACGGGCCCGCTTCACGCAGGAGCGACCCCGGGCAGGAGAGCCCTTTCGCGCGCGAGCTTTCGGAGGCCGCGGCTATCGCATCGCACTCGGCCATCTGGCGACCCAAACGAGCTGCACCCTGGCGGCGCGGGGGCACAGTGCCTGGCCATCGCTCGGACGTCCATTCCCTGTGCTTTTTCTCGGTTTCGCGCGTGCTTTTGTTCGCGCAGATGGTCGAGGATGCTCCTCGCAGGTCCGCGCCGAAGGAAAGATGCACACGTCCGAGCGATGCCAGGGCGCGAAGCCACGGCAGGCCCACCCAGCGCGAGCCGCGCGCGGGGCATCCCGCGAGGCATCCCACGGCCAGGCACCGGGGCGAGACCTCGGCCGACGCACCCTGCGCACGCGGCGCCTCTCGCCGCGTGCCCGCCCCGGGTGTCGCTCCAGCGGAGGGTCACTCTTGCGTGCGAACGCAGGGGCGAAGAAAAAAGCAGCAACACTTGGCGATATATTCAACGGCGCTGTCGAGAACAGCACTCGCCGGGACAGGCATCAGTGACGGTGGCAGTCTCCTGGCGCTCCTGCATCAAATACAGCATCGGCGGTGCACCTCAACCCACTGGTCTTCGGGTCTGCGACCTGTCTGTACAGAGGTGTTCGTAAAGCAACTCCACCAAAGGCAAAAACGAATCAATGCATGACGGCTTCACTGTCGCAATGGTCCAATTGCCCGTTGCTCGTTTGGCCACCATGCTTCAGCTGCATGGCAACATGTGCAGGTGCCGGGGAGCCGTCACATGTGATGCCCGCAAGAAGTCACAAGTGGTGGCCTCGCGCGAAGGCAATCGCGGATGAACACCCTGACAAGCCTTCCAAGCGCAATTTCGACCGCTCCAACTTTGAGCCGCACCAATACGTATATTTGTCTTGCCTGTGCATGTGCACTGTTTAGTGGTTTCAATCGCTGTTTTCAAATCATGCTTCGGAGAGCCTCAGGGTCGTCGCAGCATGACGTCCACATTTGACCCGCAAAGCGGGCCTTAGGATGCCCTCGAGACTGGTGTAACGCGTGAGAAGGCAAGGCCGGCTTCGAATCATAATGAGCGGTTGAAGTTGCAGGGGCGATGCACCAATAGGCATCGGCAGTAGATGTTGATAAAGCAAAGAGGAAGCGCCGACTCGGCTCTATCTGTGGCGCACGGGACTGCCAAAAAGTGAGTAATCAACATCAAATGAACAAGTCATGGCATGGAACACGTTGCCCTCGCTGCATTCGTGCACAATCCGTCCTCGCACCAGTGCTGGCCACTCCCTGAAAGGTCTTGCGGCGGACTGTCCTCAGACTCGTGACCTGATGCTTGAGTGGCTCACGCCTTACCGATGGTGGCATTCCTGGCTCGGAATGCTGACGCTTCATCGGCGGACATGCTTATGGCTATCACCATGACGCCAGACACTCCATAAGGAATGTTGTAACGGGATGCCCCCGTCACTCGTGCCCTCGTGACCGTCGGCTCTCGCATGAGCACCAACCGTATGCCTTGTTCGGAGCAGACTCGTGCCCTCGCAACAGCGCCTGGCACTCTCTGCTGGGGGATGTGCAGAAAGGTCCTCTGACACTTGCCCAAGTGTCCCAATTGCTCTCGCCCTAGGACAAGCTACACGTTGCACTCCTGGCTTGAACTGCCGCTAACCCGCATGCTTAACTCTTGAGCACACCCACACGGCTCATAACACGACGAGCGAGTCCCACGGCGGCAAAACACAAGCTGCACAACGCATGGGCAAGTATGTGCAATGGGGATCCGCAAAGCATCCAACGGAACACAACCTGGCCATTCTTACAACCAGGCTGGGTTCGACAAGGACAGGGCATCAGCATTCGCACGCAGAACGCGAACGCCCTTACATAACCACCGAGCATGGCGTGGACACGAGGTTTGCGCCATGATTTGGCAGATTTGCAGAGAATCACGCTCCCGATCTCCAACGCTCTACCAGCCAGGCGGACTGGACTGCAAGGATATGTGTTCCCCTCCTCTGCGCACTGCGCACTCTCTGGCACAGCCCAGCGTGCCAACCAAAGGTTTCTATTGGTAAATGTGGGTGGGGCATTCAGGCGAAGGACAAGCAAAAGAAGCTCCTGCCATTCTGCGCCCGAGGATGTTGAACTGGGCAACGCGCAACGCCATGGTAGGCCTGACCGTCAATACTGGCACCGCCGCCTTGCAAATATCCTGCGGGGAAGGGCCGAAGGATGAAAACGAGCGCTGAATTTCTCCCTGCCATCCGCGCAGCAATACAACCGCACAATTGCAAAGCACAGCAAGCACGACACAATGCATCGCTAGACAACGCAACATATTTCAATGTCATCGACTGGCTGGGTCGGCTCTCGTTCACACCAATGGTTCAACCAACCAGCATACGCACTACCTTTTTATCGGGCCCGCTTTGATCTACTACTCGCAGTGCGTGTGCCCTCATGGTGCAGATTGAGTGTGCGCACAGTTCCAGCTTGAATACTGCGGATCTCGGGCAAGTTTGAACGAATTTGGGAGTTCGATCAGGTCCCCGAGTTGTGGGCGTGCTTGTGTGTGTGTCTCCTGACAGAGGCGCGTACACGCACAAATTCAAGGCATGCGTGTGGTGCACGACGCATCCATACGCCGGCGCTCGCTGACCCACACACGAGTCCCCCCCACACCCGCCCAGAGACTGGCGGGGCCGTGCCGCAGCAAGGCGCGGAGCAAGACGGGAAGGGGAAGGAGGAGGGAGAGGAGGGGGATGAGAATGAGGGGAAGGAGGGAGGAGGGGGAGAGGAGGAGGGAGAGGAGGGAGAGGAGGAGGGAGAGGAGGGAGAGGAGGAGGGAGAGGAGGGAGAGGAGGGGGATGAGGAGGGGGAGGGGCGGAGGGAGAGGAGGAGGGAGGGGAAGAGAGAGGGGAATGATAGGAGGGGAATGAAGGGTTGAAAGATACATCCAGGATGGGGAGGAGAGGAAGGGAGGAGCATGTGGAGCACTTGCGCAGAGGAGCGTGCAGGAATACAGACAGTGAGAAAGCAGGGTGGGGTACAGTGGAGGCCAGTCCAAGAGAAACCTTCCACAAGAAACCCAACCCTGAGACCCTCAGGATATCCATCGATTTTTGGTGTGGGAACGCCACAATTTCCATCGCAGAGACATCGAAACCCATGAAACCCGTGAAACCCAAGGCACCCTGGAGGCAAGCAAGGTGTTTCTTGGCATGGGTCTCCACTGTACTAGCCATCCGAACGGCTGGCCGATGCCTGAGCTGTAGCCGCCGCTACCTCGCGACCAGCCCCAGCAGCAAGGCTTGTCTTGGGAGGCGCTGCGCAACTGGGAAGCTTACCTTGCGCGATGCGAGCCCCGTTCTCGCGACCCTTCGCGGAAGGCTTACAGCAGTCAGCAGCAAAGGTGACGCCCGTCAGCGGTAGTTGTACGACCCTGATGATGATGAGGAGGAGGAGGAGGAAAAGGAGGAGGAGAAGGAGGAGGAGGAGGAGGAGGAGTATGAGGACGAGGAGGAGGAGGAGGAGGAGGAAAAGGAAGAGGAGGAGGAGGAGGACGAGGAGGAGGAGGACACTCATGCTGAAACGATCCCAGATCCCCTGGCGACGAGGCCCGCCGGAGGCGAGACCACAGACCTCCACGGGCCCAGGGGCCCGCACGACCACGTCCTTAAGGCCACTTCTGGGCCGCACAGTGGGACGCAGTCAGGAACGCAAAAAGTCCCGAATGTTGCCCTGGAAGAGGAGGAGGAGGAGGAGGAGGAGGAGGAGGAGGAGGAGGAGGAGGAGGAGGAGGAGGGGGGAGGAGGAGGAGGGAGGAGGAGGAGGAAAGGAGGAGGAGGAGGAGGAGGAGGAGGAGGAGGAGGAGGCGGCACACGTGGGTGTTGGGAGTGGAGCGCGCTCCCGCTTGGCGAGCGGGCGGCGCCCGCGCGCCGGCTGGGAGGTCGCCGAGCCTGGAACGTCCTGACGCGCCTGCCGCACTCGGACAGACAGCGGGCATGCAAGGGGCGCTGGCACGGGCGGGTCTGTCCCTCCAGGTCATCAAGCAAGCTCACTCGGGGGCGTCTAGAAAGTCCTTGGCCTTGACGGGATCCGCCTCCACCGAGTCGGCAGGAGATCTGCGGGCTCTTCCCCTGGCCAGAGCCGCAGGGGTGCCCCACTGGTCAGTTGCGCCCTGCAGCCTCGCCAGCTGCTGCATCGACCGCGGCGTTGCCCGCGGCGACAACCCACTCCAGGTCATAAAAGTTGAGGTGTCTGGGTCAGCATGCGACGGGGCCCAGCAAACTAAGACTTCATCTTCACCTCGGCTCGCAAGATCCTTCCACTCGGTGGCGAGCCAGGGGTAAATGAGAAGGAGAAGGCCTTATCAGAAGGCTCGGAAGTCCCCCAGCCTTCTGAGAAGTTTCCTGAGCCTTCCCCGAGGACAGAAAAAAACTTCTCAGAAGGCGCGAGGGCTTCTGAGAAATCCCACCACCTTGTGAGAAGGGCTTCTCCTTCTCACTTCCCCCCCTCGCTCGCCGCAGATCCACAGGTCCGAGCTCTCAGGGAGCGCAGCCAAAGATCCCCGTTTCGCCCGTCACAGACGCGAAACCTCCCCCGCCCCCAACCGACAGACAGATGCTTGTGATCTATGACTAAACAGATGGGACCCTTGGAGCACTGGGGGGCTACAGAAAGGCAGTGCGTTCTAATCTGGGCACTGTTTGAGCGCGGCCAGCCAGGCCAACTGAAACCCTCGGAGGCCCTCAATGGCCCTCAAAGCTCCGCTTAACCTGATGGACGACAACAGCGCCGACGCTGCACCTTCGACGACCAAGGTCAGAACAGAAACGCCCCCCCCCCGACCCATCGCCCCCCAAAAAAACAAGAACCGCGCCAGACTCGCAGCACTCCTCCAGAGAGCGCTCGCGAACTAAAGCAGGAGTGAAGGCGCGCTCGCCGTCGGGAAAGTCAGGGTGGTCGAGCCCCGGAAGCGCGACCCCCCTCTGAGCCACAGCCCTCTGGCGAGGCGTCGGCGCCAGAGCTGGCGCCTGCGGGACCACACGGGCACGCGTGGCGCAATCCAGGTGCCCCGCGCTGGCCTCGCGCAGCCGCGCTCGACGCGCGGGGGTGCCAGGGCGCTTTTTTGCAACGAGGGCGCCGCCGGTCGTCGGGAGAGCCGAAGGGAGACCTAACTCGGGGCCACGGGGCTGCCCCCTTCCCACCGCAGCCGTCGCAGGGCCATGCTCACTGGAAAGACCTCTGGAGCACCGCAGCAGCTCTCTCCGAACGAGCAGGAGATCTCCTCCTTCTTCCAAGTCCACCCCTGCCTCGCGCTTGGACGCAGCATTCCACGGCTGAGCCCTGAGGTCGATGCGAAGGTCGTCCAAGAGCTCAGCCACATCGAAATCAGACGGGCCATAGCCTTGCTGAACAGACACGGGAACCGACCAATCCTTGAAGAGGCCGTTGGGAGCACGACGCTGTAGGACTAAGGCCTCCCTGAGACCCCACCACACGTCAAGTAGCGCGGCCTGGCCTGCCGCAACGGGACCCCTCACTTTGCGCCGCTTACCCCGATCCGAACGTTTGAGACGACGAATCAAAGGGCCCCAGGCTCGCCCGATCCGAACGCGCAGACTGGAATGCCTCTGCAACAAAAACGGAACATAAACTGGGAAATAACTTGCCCCCTTCAACGCAGAACTAGCTTCGACCACTGCTGCGAGACAACGCCCACACAACTTTCCACAGGCTGACGCGGCTGCCTGCCTGCGAAGATTGAGGACTCTGCTTGGCGGGAGCCCTTTCATCTGGCGGGCGCGAGAATCCTGGCGCAAAGCTCCGCGTGTCCAGTCCCTGGGAAGCTTTCTTCGAAGAAGCATTTGTCCTGAGAATGAGAATCCTGGCCGATCTACGTACGGCGGGCCGCGTTGATGCGAGAACTGGACTCGGTAACCGATCGAATATGCCGGCCACTAACGCCAGCGCCCATATCGACTCTTTCCTCGAAGACTACGGGGCGCGGCGCCAATCTTTATGTCCAGATTCATAACGGCGGCAGGGGACTGCAACGGCAAAGTGGCACGACCTAACCAGACCCAGGACAAGCTGCCATCGGACGTTCCACTTTCGAACAGGAGGGTAGCGGCCGTAAATCCAAGACTTACCGCCGCCCCGTCAAACAACGACCGCGGCGGAGAGGCCTGCCGCGCAACGCAGCCCGCTATGGCTGTGCCCGAAGCCCTGAGACCACTGAGAGGTGAGATCGCACCTCATTCTGAAACAACTCTTTGCAGACTCGAGCAGCAACCCGATGATCCTCCCACCTCCTCGGGGGGCTCGACAACAACTCGCCTGCCGAGGAAAACCAACTGAGAAAACCAAACCTTCTCTTTCACGATGGCTTCGAACAAACCCGGTAACTCCATGTGACCTTCAAGCGGGAGCCTCTGGAGGTCTATGGGAATGCCAGTCCACCTCCCTGGCATTGGCATGGAGAGCCCTGGCGACAGCCTGCAACTCTCGGGGACGTGCTGCCCCTGAACTGCTCGACCAAACTCCCCAACAATACGCGAGATATCTCGGAACCTATCTGCCGGGTCTGTCTGGCACGTGGACCAAACATCGCTAAGTTTCCCCCGATGTTGAAAAAGGTCGTTGGTCGCCTCTTCAATGGGAAAGACCTCATTTGCTGCATCGGCAGAGTCGTGGACCGTGCCATGCAGAAGTCCAGACTTCGTCTTCCGCTGCTGGAGGGCCCACTTTAATGAAGGCCTGTCTGCGACTGGCAGGAGCCCTGCCCTGAGCTCCGCCCGCAGGCCCGGCAGTTAGAAAAACAACCATTCATTGCGTTCCTGTTCCTTAGAAGCCGACAAGGCTCGAACCCAATCCAGCCAGCGAAGCCCGAGATCACTCCCATCTCTGCTGAAATACTCGACTGAATCAAGACCCGACGCTTCCTTGGTGCTGCCGGCGCGGTAGGCGAGACAGGTCTTCTCCAGCCAGCGATCCCTGCCGCGCGACCTGAGGCGAAGCCGTTCCAGAAAAGCAGAGAAAATGCCGCGCCACTTACCTGGAGTGGATTTGAACTTCTGCCACGACACAGAGCGCTCAGAACGGCCAGGCATCTGACTCGGGGAGGCTCTGGGATCTCGCTGCAAATGGGCAGCGAGCTCTAGCTTTGGGGCCCACCTGGCGGAATCGTACCCCCGAAGCGTTGAAAGTCAACAGAGCGCGACTGTCACGGACCTCCTGACAAGCATGGGCCAACACTTGCTGGGAAAGCGAGGATCGACGGCGGGCCCAGCAAGGGCCGCCTCGGGCGAAACCCTGGCAAAGATCAAACTCCCCCCGAAGCCCCGACAAAGCTTCCCTGTGCTTGGCCAACGGCGCAGCTCACCGTTGGGAACGCTTGTTCTCTGGGTTGGACCTGTTCCTAGGCCGACCAGGGCCAGGGAAGGAGTCGAAGGACCCG